TGTAAGAAAGTGTTTTTCTGTAGTGACCCAACAACTTTGAAACTCAATGCTAACAGAACTTTGCTGAATATGACTCCATATTTGGGGGAAACTGCAAAGAATTCTTGGTTTCTAACTATTTAATCATCTGTAGAGTTTATTCAAGGTTACACTAATTGAATGTACAATACAAAAGGTTGACTCAGTATCCATTCTTCTGAGGTCAGTAAAATGAGGATTCAGATTGTTTGGTACAATATGCTGACTGTAAACTGCTAAGAGAGCGCTGGAAAACCCTGTGAAGTGATATATAAGTCTAAGTGTTACTGCTATTCTCCTAGATTTTCCCCTGGGATTGTCAGTTCTGAAAAGGGCCTAATTTACTTTAAGAATGCAAGAGAATAAAAAAAAACTTGGGATTTCTAATGAGCCATCTCAAAGATCTACCTGTGGAATCTTGTAGTTGGCGAGGACTGTGGCCATGGTGAATGAGGTCTCTGTCATACGTCCCCCAATAGCAGCAATAAATGTTTTCTCAAAATCACAGGTAAAGTTGGGAACAAACCTCTGCTGTGTAGAAAGTATGCTCAAGGTTGCCTTATAAGTTATCTTCGCAGGAAAGTAATTGTTCACAATGTAGAAACCCAATGTGATGTTGGGTAAAAGCTCAGGATTACTATTGATCTCCTTGACAGCAAACACCACAGGAAGGATTTACTGATAGGCATTTGGCACATAACTGCAATAAAAACTATCAATATCATTAAACAACATAAAAGTGTATCCTATACTTCTCTTGTACTTGTGTATTCAGACCTATAATACTGAAAGTCAATGGAGAGATCCAGAAAATGGTACACTGAGCAGCGGGACATTTTTTTTCTCCCTGCCAACAAACAATTGACTTTCCTGCCAAAGCTAATTCTTTAGCAATACACTCCCCAGATTTGAATGGGTGCAGCTAGGAACTACCCATGATTACCCTAGGATGACTACATACTTGCCTGAGAAGTGAATCTAGATGACTGCAATTCTGAGTAAAATAAGTCAGAGGGTTTGGTCTCTATTTTCCTAGTTGCGGCTGTTTTTAACATCACCTTTTGAAGTTTAATTGTTAATAGCTTGCATCAGGTGTGTCAAAGGCCCATGGGCCAATGTTCCCTCTGATTTTTTTTCAGTGTGCACGGAAAAGTATAGTGTTTGAGTGGCATATTTTCATGCCTGAGCATGGGCATGGCACAGTTGCTCCCCAGCTGTTTTGGAGTGTCCCACCTACTGCTTGTCATTTGACACTCGCCTAATGTCGCTCGACCTACATCTAGTCTCCACTCTCCAGACTAAAGCCCAAAGTCCAGGGGCTTGATTTCCATAAAATGTACATCACGTTGTGACATTAAAAATCACTGTGCGGCAGTTGGTAACTGCTTTGTGGCATTTTCTTGTCACGTGTGTAGCCCCGCAGCTGTGCAGCTTAGAGGGAACATTGCCATGGGCTGGATCCAGCCCATGGGGTGCTTAGATCTGGCCCATAGGGTCTCCCTGGAAACAGCAAAGGACCGGCCTGTGGTGGCTCTGCCAGAGAAAAGAGAGCTTTGGACAGCAACGCACGAATCATCCATTTTTGGCTCCAATGAAATCCTGCAACCCTCTGCCAGCAAAAATGGAGCTCAGGAGGACCGTGTGCTGCCGTCCTGAGCTCTCTTTTCACTGGCAGAGGACTTGGGCTACTACAATTGCCCCCAACATGAGAGATGTTGAGCTGACCACTCCCATCCCGGTTCCCTGAGGTCCAACACAGCCCTAATGTGGCCCTCAATGAAATCAAGTTTGACACCCTTGGTCTGGATAAATGCTGATTTGCTCTATACTCCTTTGCTTGATTGCAAATGTAAAATTTCATTATTTTACTCCAGTTTTAAAATACTTCCTCTTTTGCCACAAGAAAGTCACTGGCATAAGAATTTCTTTTATTTGCAGTGAAAGTGACGAGTTGATTTATACTGGATTTTTATTCTCTTAATTTTCTTACAATTTTAAAGCCTTTCTAAAATAAATCCTTTGTTTCATTTTTTGTATATATCCTTGCTTTTTATTTTAAAGAAGACAAAATTTTCTTTTTTCTCTTTCTCTGCTGTGAGAATTATTCCCTCAGCTGCTTCTGCGTTACTCTGTGACTAAATATCTATTCTGTCCATCTTTGAACACTCTGCCGAGAAAGTTTGGCTTTAAGAGAGACTTGGACTATATTAAAATTAAAGCAATAACAAATGAAGGTCTTTGAATATTACATATTACATATGCTCTATAATGCTTCCAAAAAGAGATATAAAAGATAAATGGGCCTCAGCTGTTTTAAACATTAAATCTTATTGGAAAGTTTTAAAAAAACAATGTTTGCTGACACAAGTTTTAAATTAAAAATCAAGAAGACATCCAGATATAGGCAGCAATAGTTAAATCAGTCATGCAATTGGATGGACTGGGAAATTAATTTGATGTTAACAGGTTTGAAAGAAAGGGAGTTGCTAGAGCAGGTTGAAGGAGGCATTTATGAACTGGACCATCTCAGGAAACTAATGGAGTCTGCAGAATAGAGCCATTACATGCAGCCAGAAGGCAGCTGTCAAGAGACATTGTGTCCCAATTTTCAGAAAAAATTACTAAACAACAAGTTCTGTGGACATATCTTCAATGGAGGCCCACATTCTTTGGGAGTGAGAACAGTTGTTTGGAAAGATTCCATTTATAATTTTAAAGAAAACTAAAGAGGAGAAACTGGAAGGAGTTGCTTTTATTATTAAGAATCGATTGATGGTATTTGATCGTAGACATATCATAGATGATAGTTGTAGTGGGTTGCTGAGACATTAGAACCCACATGTGAATTTTCTTCAAGTAAAATACAATAATAGATTGTTAATAGAGGGCTTTGAGATTTAGGTTAGTTGTTGCAATTACCTGTTAACTTTTATATACAGTAGATATATGTTGGTCAAATTGGTTGATTGATAATATATTTCTATATTTTTAATAATTTAATATTATATATTAACTTTTCAAATATAGATTTATTTTTACAGAGTGTAAACAATTATTATTGCTGAAAAATATCTATCAGTATTCAATTGGGGGGAATATTTTGTCTGTATGTTTAATATTTTGTCTTATACATTTTTTCCCTTTGTTTTTGTCTTTGTTTGGTTTTTCTTTCTTTTTTTAATTTGATTTCAGCTTGGGAAACAAATAAAATATTATAAATATATATACACACCTGAATGTCATGAACTTACTCCTACCAGAGTAATACTAGAAATTTGATGATAATTATAATAGAAAAGCTTCAAATGCAGACTAGGCTTCAAATGACACCTCTATATACTATTCAACAGAAGATGTTTTGAAGTCAGGTAGGGACACTGCTATTATTAACTTGGTCTACTGACACATTGTCTTAAAAATNCAACCCTGAGCCGGTGAGATTTGAACCGCTGAACTGCTGATCTAGCAGTAGCCTGCAGTGCTGCATTTAACCACTGCGCCACCTCGGCTCTGGAAAGGAAATCACTAAGACAGTGAAAATATCTGTTATTAGAAAATAATTTCTCTTGTGTAACAAAGAAATACACAAAAAAAGATTGTGATAGTTTCCCACCACAAAATTGTATTTTGTTGGATAGAACCCAGTGTTCAAATCTTTTAAGGCTCTTGTGAATCTTGAGTCTATCATATAAATTATTAGCTAACCTCACTTCCCCCTCATTTCAAAGTTGATGAGTTCCCCTTCTATTTTTTCATTTAGATGATTGATGAAGAGGTTGAAGAGTACTGGGCGTAGGAGAGAGCCTTGAGATACTCCATGTAGGTGTAGTTCCAACCATTGAATGTGATTGGTCATCTAGTTGCAAATCCATCTGGTGGTAGTACTATCTATCTGCATGATTCAGTAGGTTAAAAAGTGGCTATAATATAATAATGATATTATATTGGTAAAAATATGGATGATTGGACTGAGGTTTATGTTCAATTATAATCAGAAAGAAACTTTCTATAAGATGATGTATCATTGATCTGAAAAATTGTCAAAGATCTATAAAGAAGTTCAAATATATACTGGAAATGTAATTATAAAGAAGGCATTTTTAATATCTCTGGAGGATTATGACAAAGCTAAGAAATATTTGGATCAGATTTTTATCTCAGAAAATAATTTTTTAAAAATAAATATAAAAATGAAAACAAAAGATTTTCTTTTAGTTTGGGTAGCAAACAGTTTAAAAATTGAACTTTGTTATTATATATTGCATTATTTGAAAATAAAGCACATTCCAATGAAGGTTTGTCATATTTCTCTAATTTAAGTATAATTATATATAATTGAAATATATTTTAATACATGTTTATTTTGATCAGCAAAACATACTTTAAACCTCAAAGCATAATCCTACAACTTGGTTATTCATTCTTCCCAAGTAAGCATCAACTATCTTTTCCGGTAAGCATATAATACTTACCATATATAGAAGCAGTCAAGCCTATTTCAAAAAAGTATATGATTTACTTAAAATTAATATTTGTGCTGGTTGAGAATTTGTTTCGAAATTTGCAGATTACACAGCAAACAAAGCTGATATTTCAAACAATATATAGCCAAAGAAGGAAAATTCATTATCCTATTATCCTTTAACATCCAAAGGGGCCATACACAATCTAGTAAAATTTTGTATTTCTTTATGGCAATTCTTTCACATTTGGGCAATATATGGACATATGTCAATCAAAATTTAATGCAGGTAATCATCATTCATGTTAAACTAGATAGGTAGATAGAACACCTCCATTCTCTGATCTTAAAACATATATCCTTTTAACGACTACTTTTCTCCATAACACATTTTAGGTATGAATGAAGTCAAATTAAGGTCAGGGAGATCTTTCTAAATTCATTCAAAATAAATTAATATACAAAAACACTTTATGAATGTTCTAAAGATATTTCATTAAACATGAACACAAAAAGACAGTTACATTTCTTTCCTTATTAAATGTTCCTTCTTGTTCATCTCAGGTCTCAATAAAATGATGTAACATTTGGGGGAAAATATACACCCCAGTAAACCAGCACTGGAGCATAAGATAGAGAAGATCTCCACAGCTACCATGTATTTCCCTTTGGTGCTCAGGTAGGTTGGAACAAACGTCAACCAAACGCTGCAAAAGACCAACATGATGAAAGTGATGAACTTGGCCTCATTGAAACTGCTGGGAAGCTTCCTGGCTTGGAAAGCAACGTTAAAGCTGACACTAGCCAGGAAGCCCATGTAAACCAGGACACAGTAAAACATGATCACCGAGCCTTCATTGCATTCCATTATGATTTCTTCCTTCAGTGAATGCAGGTCTATATCTGGGAATGGGGGAGATGTACTCAGCCAAACTGTGCAAATTCCTACTTGGATGAAAGAACCCAAAAGGACAATAGAATTAACAAAAGCTTTCCCTACCCATTTCCTCATTCCAGTTCCTGCTTTAGTTGCCATAAATGCCAGAATCACAGTCAAGGTTTTTACCAATACAGACGAAAGGGCAACTGCAAAGATAATGCCAAAAGTCATTTGCTGGAAAAAGCAGGTTATCTTTTCAGGTCTTCCCATGAAGAGGAAGAAGCAGAGGAAGCAAAGAAGAAGGGATATAAGTAGGATGCAAGTGAGGCTCCAGTTATTGGCTCTGACAATTGGAGTCCCCCTATGCATCCAAAAGATTTCAACCACAAGAATTGTAATCAAAGAGAAAACAGCAGACAACGTAACAAAGAGGATTCCTAAAGTTTTATTATAAGAGAGATAGGAGAACACTTTGGGAATACACTGGTTTTGGTTGTTGTTTGGATATTCATTTTCTGGACATTCCATACAGGCATCCATATCTACAAAAAGAAGAAAAGAAATAATCTTTCCAATGTACAAAATATATAACCTTTCTTGCCACAGTTGTTAAATGAATCACTGCAATTGTTAATTGCACACAGAAAGAGGAAACACCTGAACAATAATAGGTATGAGAGAATCAGAGAATAAAGTGCTTGCATTAATAGAGCTTTTCAAAACAGGGAAACCCACAACCAGGATGAAGAAGTAGAAGAAAATAAAAATGAGAAAGCTTGAGTTAAAGGGAAGGACTTGGCATTAACTTTTTTAGATGTTCTAGCACAGGACTTGAAAGGGCAGAAAATTATCTTTTTCATAGGACCTCACACATGTTCAGAATACCCTTAATGAATATTTTAGCTAATACTTTTTCTGACCATCATCAAATGTAATCTAGGTTTTTTTTGCAGCCAAAATGTTTAAAAACAGAACGTGGCACTACAAGTAGTCCCTGATTTACAACCACAATGGGGCTGTGGATTTCAGTGATAAGATGCTGCTCTTGAAAGTCAGATACTATGTGAAAAAATTGATTTTGCAACCATTTTTGCAATGGCAGTAATGTGATCCATAGTTGTTAATTCAATCGCCTGTTCATTGTGAAATCAATTCCACCAAAGGACTTGTTTTTGCTGGAAACTAGCTAAAAACTCTTCATGGTCATGTGACCATGGGAAACTACATCTATTCATTAATCTGAGTCAGTTGCTATGTGCCTAAGGGAGGCATCAGCAGGTGGTAAATAGAGATGTTTCACTCCATTTTAAATTTGAAAGGTTATTAAGTGACCAATCATAAGTCTACCGCTCTCTGTAGACATTATTAATCTGTTCATCCCGAGCACAATTGGATGTATTTGCCATAAACCTGCCATCAACACCTCAGTGCTCAATTGCATATATAGAAAATGTTAAACCTCATCATTTTAAAAAGCCCCAAAACACCAAAACATCATTTTCTTCAATTACTTCAATTGTATTTGCAAATTGCTCCAAAAAGTGTCCTACTTTTGTTATTAGTTGAGAATCTGCAGCTATTTCTCACCTGGTTAAAGCTTCTGTGCCATATAATTTGATTTCAAAAGTATTAAACTAAAAACATTTAAAAAATGAAAGAAATTAACAGCAAAACTTTTCAATCCAACAACTACAGAAAATTATGTCAAGCTTGAACTATCCTTTTTTGTAAAACACAAATGAAGATTAAGGATGTCTTCAAGTTGGTGTTAACTACTATCTGGACCAGAATCTGCAGATTTTTGTGTCAAGGTATCCAGAATTAGAAGAAACTGCTCCCTTTTTCTAATCCAGTGCCTTAACCATTGCATCAAACTAGTTATCTTATAACTATATATGTTTCAAATATGAATATATTTGGGTATCCATTCTGATGTGCATTCAAATTCTGATCTACAATTCATAACCCACCTCAAACTTTAGAATGCATAGTTTTGCCTTTTCTACATTTTGAACTTCCAAAATAAAGCTTAATGTATTATTCAGTCCCACTTCCACAAAATACAATACAATACAATAGCAGAGTTGAAAGAGACCTTGGAGGTCTTCTAGTCCAACCCTCTGCCTAAGCAGGAAACCCTATACCATTTCAGACAAATGGCTATCCAACATCTTCTTAAAGACTTCCAGTGTTGGGGCATTCACAACTTCTGGAGGCAAGCTGTTCCACTGATTAATTGTTCTAACTGTCAGGAAATTTCTCCTCAGTTCTAAGTTGCTTCTCTCCTTGATTAGTTTCCACCCATTGCTTCTTGTTCTACCCTCAGTTGCCTTGGAGAATAGTTTGACTCTCTCTTCTTTGTGGCAATCCCTGAGATATTGGAACACTGCTATCATGTCTTCCCTAGTCCTTCTTTTCATTAAGCCAGACATACCCAGTTCCTGCAACCGTTCCTCGTATATTTTAGCCTCCAGTCCCCTGATCATCTTTGTTGTCTTCTCTGCACTCTTTCTAGAGTCTCCGCATCTTTTCTACATCGTGGCGACCAAAACTGAATGCAGTATTACCTGTGCATTTCATTTTTCTTACCTCAATGTAGAACCTTTCTCTTTCTTACAATAATTATGACTTCTTGGATACAGAAGTCTGCAATCTGCAATGAAGTTAGACTTTCATGAAGTGATGAAGCTTTCCAAGTGGCAAAAGAAGTGGTGGGATTTTTTTCAAGTTACATGGTGTTTTGGGTCTTAGTCACACTGGATTCATGTGTCGACTGAGGTATGAGTAGCATTGCCAAAACTCTGACACCTGGCTTGTGTTTTGTGGTGATTGTGAGATTGCAATTATGTGAATGTAAGTCTGGCTGAAAACTTCAATATTGCATCAGGAGATAAATTGGAAATATAGTGGAGGGCATAATAATCACTCTTTCACTGCAAGAGAGACTGGCAATCTCATTCTGATGTCCTCTAACTGGATTAATTTACTCATACCTTATGCTTCAATGGTCACATTGCTGGCACATTGGACCTCAAGATGTTAATGGCCAATACCATGTCTATAAGTAACAATATTTCATCCATTTATAATTTGGTGGTAAACGAATGTACAAATTTGGAGTGTGTTACTGTGATCCATTTGGTCAAAGATTGTAACCTCCCTCTCTCAGAGAACTGCTGTTCTGCCTTTTAGGTCTTTAGCCTTCAGTAGCAGAGTGGTGGCACTGATCTTTAAAGATTCTCTATTAGTGGCCAGGGTCTCCACTTCTGAGGGTGTGAATGTCTGTAGTTAAGGCCAGATGGATGGTCTTTGGAGCAGGGGTGATATTTAGCCAGTTCTGACAGGTTCTGGAGAACAGGTAGTGGAAATTTTAAGTAGTTTGGAAAAACAGCAAATAGGCTTCCCCTGCCCCCTGCCTCCCAGTCTCCCCGCTGATCTTGTTTTGTTGCCCTGAACAGGAGAACCGAGCTGGAAAGCAGATTAGTGGGGTGGGGAGGGAATGGGGATTTTGCAGTAACCTTCCCCTGCCATGCCCACCAAGCCACACCCACCAAGCCACACCAAGTCACACCAAGCCCACCAAGCCACGCAAATAGAACCAGTAGTAAAAAAAATTGGAATCCCATCGCTGCTTTGGAATCTTCTAGTGTACCAGTTTCCCCATTGCCTGGCAGAATACCTCCCAACCTGCCTGATCTAATCTGGGATAGTTCTGAGGTGCCTCAATTTATGGTCTTAATGAATAATTTTAATCTCCATGCCTTGGGAGCCTGGTTAAACATTCTCAGAAATCCAAAGCCTTTGTGGTAACTGTGGGCATATCTTAAGTAATTTCAAACTCAATTCATATAGGCAGTCAAACAGATTAGACCTCTTTGTTGCCTTGCAGCAATTGTATTGCTGGCATTGTCTTAGTCCAATCAATTTCTATTCCTTATTTGTTTGTTTGCTTTTTTGGTTTGAATTTACTGACTGCTCAACTTCAATGAAATCCAGTTCTGACTCTTTGCTACTATGACTACTTATATGGAGTAATTGGACAAAGTGCAATAGTTCGGCTAAAGAGATTTATGGCATCAGTTTGATTATCTATAATCTTATGGGCAGTTCATTTGAGTGTTTGGTTGCCTACTGTTAACAGGAGAACACATGGGCCCTGTATAAGACTGCTTCTGTGTCGCTTCTTTCTGTATGTTGCTCCCAGGTGGTAATTTGTGAGAGTTTGGGTATGACTGATTCGGAGGACCTGCCGGGGTATGCGGGAGTCACCGGGGTGGTTGGGGGGGCCATAACCACGGGAGAGGGTTGGNACAAATGGCTATCCAACATCTTCTTAAAGACTTCCAGTGTTGGGGCATTCACAACTTCTGGAGGCAAGCTGTTCCACTGATTAATTGTTCTAACTATCCCTTATGATTGAATCACCAACCAGAAGGTGACTTCTCTTTTTGAATTCCTTGCTCTTCTTGTGTGACTGATGTGTGATAGAGATTCTAGATAGGTAATCTGTCTATGTAGACAGATTATGTCTTGTTTACAAAGGGGACAGTATCCAAATTTGAAAAGAGTACTGTGAAAGACAGGTGCAAAACAGCTATTACATTGAACTAAACCAGTCATTTTGAAATAAAATCAAATCACAATTTCAAGCATACTATCCAGAATGTATTATTGCTATTTTGGGTTATGGATATATGATTCACACCCCATTAGGTGCACAGGCCACTACCTATTCCTCTTTGTCTCTCTGATTTCCCCCCTTGCAGCCAGCAGCTCCAATCACCAGCCACAAGAAAGTTGAAATGAAATGGAGTTAAAGTGCCACTACCTACTCCTCTTTGTCTCTCTGATTCCCCCTTTCAGCCAGCAGCTCCAATCACCAGCCACAGGAAAGTTCAAATGAAATGGATATATGATTCATGCCCCATTAGGCGCACAGGCCACTACCTACTCCTCTTTGTCTCTCTGATTCCCCCCTTGCAGCCAGCAGAAAATCATTTCATAGTCTGCCATGTTCTCCATGGCTCTTAGAATTCAAAACAAAATAACATTTAAAACCACAGGTCTCAGGGAAAACAACAATGGCCTTGGTCTGTGACCAAGTAAATTATGTAGAATAAAATATTTCCTCCTAAACCAAAGATTATCTTTTAAATTAGTAGTTATAATGTTTCCTCGTTAGGAAAGAAATATCTCTCGTATATAACTACTAGAGTAAAAGCTTTGATTTTGTTCAAAAGGAAGTCTTTTTTATCAACCAAATTGATTGGTGAAACAATGCTATATCATTCTAAATAGATTTATATGTGACATCATTCCCACTACATCATAGCGCAATAAAACAAGCAATGTATTAGAAATGAAATGAAATACCTGCCATGGTTGTAAATCCTGAAATATTACTTATTTATTAAACAGTTAAACAGTTGTTCTGTTCCTGTAGCATTTCTACATCTGGATCTGGATTTGAGTAAGACATCCAAAGAATGTGCCATAACATGGACTGCATTGTAAATGTTGTAGCTGTAACCACTCATGCT